TGTATTCTATATTGCGATCATCGACTCTTGATCAGGTCATCAATGTAATTGAGATTCTGTTTTCCACCGACCTCTCAGTTTACATACAGGTATTTCTGCTATAATGAATAGGTTTGTTCCCAGAAAACACCACCTTATAGAAAAGCAAGTTATAGAAACCATTGGGTCATTGGGATTTGAGGGCTAGAGTTCGGATTCACAATGTATTACTTCTACACAATGTGTTCTTGTGATACTTCTAAACAGAACAGAGTGAAGAAATTGATAAAATAGGGAATAATGCGCATCAGTATTAACATTGCTTTGAAATGGGAAATTCTGAGGTGGAGGAGGGTGTGAAAATGTTTTGTAAGAAACATTTAATACACACTACTATTATAAACCTAGTAGTGCAGACGAGATCACGTTCTTTCCTTTCTCTCATATCTCTTTACAACATCAAGCTTTTGTTCTAGAGTAAATCGCTTTTCTTTTCATTTGCAACACACACACTAAAAGAAGACTCTATACCCTTGCCCCTCATTGTAATAGCAATATTTATATAAATGTTTCCAAACAATGAAAATATAGTAGCTTAGCACAGATACACAACTTTGAAGCCCATGCAGGTTGAACAAAGACTGACAGCAGTGCGTGAGAGAATATACCAGCATGCACAACTGTTTTACTCTACGTGTGTAACTAGCTCCAGTACACTGGAATTGCATTATAGCCAAAATGCAGTCGCATTATGGAAAAGTGTTCCCTAATAAGTCAATAATGTTACAGCCGATTTGCATTTTGGAAAGACACATTATTGCAGAAATAACTATTATGATTCTTAATGTTTTTTTCTGGAATTTGTAATCTGTAAATTTAAATAAAAAAAAAACACAGCCTAACAGCCTCTAGCTAAGACAGAAGTACAGCACCTTGACAGAGGCTAAAGCAGTAAGATCTACATGATGCCCAAAACATATTTTCAATTACTAGGGATAAACAGTGATCCAAGGGAATAAGAAAGTGCAATTTGTGAGAGGTATGGTGAGAGGGGAACAATTGTGTTTAAGTTAACTCAGTTTAAAGACATCCTTTTGAGTGATGCGTTATCAACAGAGAAGGTTTACATAGTAAACAAAAAACGACAGGTAGTGTATAGACAAAACGAACTATATACTAAGAACATACAGCCTCAAACACTACTAAGAAGCCATACCCTATGATTTAACTTACAAAAATGGTATAGGAGACTTTCACACATAAAATGCATGGCCTCTAGCATCATGACATATACTGTAGTTATGTGAGCAGAAGTAATGAAAATGCTACACGTGTAATTGGAGTTCTTATTCAGTGTGGATGCAAGTTCTAAATAAGAAAAGCTGTTCTAAATCTTTCTGGTCATTTCATGAAAATACAATGTTTCAAATGCACAGTAGCACCTTCCATAAACAAATTAGTTCCATTCCATAACAAAGAGACATTGAGAGGAGGGTTTGCAGGTTATTTATAAAAGAGGGAACTGTGAAAAAGAGGAAGTCTGATGACATTGAGTAAGATGTGGCAACATAATAATGGCTACTGTTTCTAGATAAACACGTTATGGTGTGTACATTGGGACAGTGTAATGAACTCAGGATCTTTAACAGGGATTAACTGACATCAGAACGAACTGTACTAGAATCATGGTGACAAAAGGAGAAGTCAACAAAAAGCTGACAAGTTTCTACAGCACTTCACCTGCCCAGCAGAAGGACAGGAAACTGGAAAAGACATCTGAAAATAATGAAGCTTTTGGAAAAAAATAAGAACAGGTGGAAAAGGCTGTGATGAGACTTCTCAAGCTGAGCACAGCTTTAGCAAGATAATCCATACAATTAACATTTGACCAAGATGTGACCCGCAATTTTCAAGTTTTATTTTTAAATTGAAATGTACGGCATTCCTCTCAGTCCCTGCAGACCTGCTAAATAGGGACAGGTACACATGAAAGCACTCCGTTTCCTCAGTTTAATTGTCAACGTACAGTAACTCTAAATATTTGGAGCACTGAAGGCACACAGGAATAGGCTCAGACATCACTGAATTAAACTGGGAAGGATGTTTTATATTCTTATCCTCAAAACAAGGGAAATACTGTAGTGTCCGGGAGGCAAAAGCAATTCCCATGTACAATACCGGAGTTTTATCTGTGTCCTACAGAGCAAGCAAATAATAGCATGTTTTTTTTTAGCATTCTGAAGTGCTATGCTGCCATTAAATACTTATTTAGAAAACAACTCGAGAAGCATTTTTGAATTTTGTGCAAATGTTAAATCTGTTGTTTAATCTATATTGAAGTATAATACTTCAGATTACCTCATTCGCATTTCATAACCTTGTTCCCAAAAAATAAAGACTGCTGGCCTCAGTGAAATGCAATGGAAGTAGATTGAATCAGGTTTATCAAGGTTGTTGTTACACAGTGCAATATACTGTAATGCACTTTGCTCTTCCTTTCCAAGCATGCCTGGGTACTTTAACAGTAAAAAGCTCCTGATCATTCAATCCAGCTGAGAGTAGGCCAGCAACAACACGCATATTTTCATTTTTAAAATATGTAACTGGGCAGCATGGTGGCGCAGTGATCAGCACTGCTGCCTTGCGGCACTGGGGCCCTGGTTCAATTTTAGACCTTGGATGCCATCGGCAAGGAGTCTGGATGTTCTCCTCGTGTTCACGTGGGCTGCCTCCAGATGCTCTGGTTTCCTCCCACAATCCAAAAACAGTACTAGTAAAATATTTGGCTTCCAGGAAAATTGGCCTTGGTGTGTGTGCACGTTTGTGCCTGTGTGTTCCTTGCAACGGTCTGGCGTCCCATCCAGGGTGTGGACCGCCTTGCGACGGTTGCTTGCCAGGTTAGGCTCTGGCCCCCCTGCAACCCTGTGCTGGACAAAGCAGTTAGAAAATGGATGGATGGAAAAAGATGTAACTGCCAATAGTATAGTCATTTTGTTTGCTCGGTCTCTGCAAGCTCTATTTGGGCAAAGCACCATTTGCATTGCATATTTCTTGTTAATTTGGAACTGGAACATAACAATATCAGTTTACAAGGATGTCAAAACTTTAATATTGTAAGATAAAGTTTTGAAAAAAAGCTTTTGGCCTGAGATTAAAATATGTCAGATACAGTACAGTATATCTGCTTCCCAAAAATACTAGTTGACAACAAATATTGTAGTCATTTTCGTCCTGTGCATTACTCAGTAACTTCGGATCCCTTTTGTATCTATTATAAGACTTATAAACACTACTGCAGTTTTTTTAAATATATTTTGGTTAAGTGGAAAGTCTACCTTCTTAGAGCAAAAACCTGGATTTCATTGGAGGTCTCCCTTTCCTTACTCTTACTAACCTACAGTATCTTCTGTCACTTAACGATGGGGTTAAAAGAGAAATTGTATAGGGAGAATGTGCACAGAACTTGAAGCTTCACGTTCAGCAATTTACCACAAATATATTACGTTATCAGAAGTTTTCATTGAACAGCCAAGCTTCTGTAACAATATGCACAGCCCCCTAAGGATGTGTGCTGAAAAGTGTACACCAATCCAAAACGTTTCACAACAATCCAGCAGGACAAAATCCACCTTCTCCCCCTTGAATTATGACAATAAAATCAGTAACTTTCATGTAAACTAAATTTGGACAATAAGAAAGGGATTTACGAAAAGGAATAATAGTCTTTCTTCTCTGCAAAGAGAACATCAATAGTGCCCTCTACAGGCAATAAATAAAATGGTCTGAACTTCACAGTATAAAGTAAACAGAATAAAAAGTATAAGGATAATAAAAAATATTTCGATGCGCAATAGTCCAAAAAGCAACCCTATGTCACTGTTAAATCATCCACAGTAATCTTAGAAGTATAAATAAAAATATATTTACAACTCCTCCAATAAGGACATTATATTACAGTTAAAAATAAATGTAACATGTAGTCCAGAATCTATAAAAGTATAAATAGAAAAAATAACCCATAAATTATCTAGTTCTTAGATTATAGTTCTTTCATATTTGAAAACCGTGACAGAACATTGTTGTAGTTTAAGTTTATTCATACTGTAATTTTCTAAACATGTTCCAGGCCACACAGACTAAAATAACTCTAGTAATGTAGCGATTAACTTACAACCCTACACAGCTATTTAAAAAAAAAGAGTGCAATAACTACAATTGTAATTACTCCACTGTAATTGAAAAGGTCTAAAAAGCAATATATCTACAGCCTTATCTATAAAAATGTACAGTATTGACAAACAAAAGGGAAAGAAGTCAACTCCCCCTACCCGTCATTTTTTAAAACTTTTAAAATGTTCTGAACATCCTGTTCCCAAAAGTAACACTTCAAGTTACTCTGAGAAAAAGTTCAAATGAAGTGCATTACTGAAAAATGTCATTCTAGCTAAAATAATGTTTTTTTAACTAACTTTAAATAGAGGGTACAAAATGTTTTGTAAATGGAAATAGATACAGTATTCACCACTATATATTTACACACACATAATGTATACCAGTCCATTAAAGAATGAATTCTAGAAAGTCTAGTGTTGAGTTCACAATTCTTAAAACAAATTGTTAACAGAAGCTTCAAACCATACATTTCAAAGCAACAGCTTGTTGCGATACATCCTGACTATACAATACAATGGTAAGCAAAAGGAAAACTGTCTTATTGGGCAAGTTCATGAAAACATTAATAGTAGAAAATAGCAATCATAGCTATTGATGATAGCAGTCAGCCATCATCACTTTTAAAAAAGAATGCCTCACAGATGTTATGATAAGCTGTACTAATCAATGAGGCTGATGAGGAAAGAAAGAATGCACTACTTTACCTACTGTAAAGTTTACTGCTCATTTATTTAGAAATGATAAGTCACTCTTGAACTCTTTCTAACAGGTCTCCATGCCTTATTCAACCGTTCTCATAGCCTGCCACTAAAGCTCTTCAAAATGTCCTTTTCCCCTTCAAAACCTACCTTTTCCAGATGGGAAGAAGCATTCCATCTCCACACTGCTGCGTGAGTGGGATATGCAAAGAGTGCTGCTGGGAACCAGGCCTTCCTGGGGAGGGGTGCGGTCGGTAGTCCTCACGAGACACCAGCCAGGCCTGTCGCTCGGACGCTCCAGTAACTCCACTGTCTGCCCCACCTGGATACTCAGCTCACTGCTGCAGCCAGCTGTGAAGTCCTGGAGAACCACTGTCAGTTCGCACCCTCCAGATAGCTGATGGGGGGGGGGGCGGGGAAGAAAACATAAGAAAGGGCGTGAGTCCTCCGAACAAGGTGTGGTTCAGTTGTTTTAAATGATCCCTTATCCCAGTGGACCGAATGAGGCGCAGTATAGGGTAATTACTCAAAGACTATCCAGGCTGAACAGCACTACAACAGAATAGGAAATGACGAGGGAAAAACCTATGACAATTACAATGCCCCATACCTCTCAGCAGATCTGAAAATGTGTACTATGGTTCTTTAAGGTGTGGATGAGTAACTTTATGGCAGGTGCTTGGGGCGTTTCATTTTTCCCCAGTGTATTCTTGGTCTAGTTAGGAACATTTGGCAAAAATAAAATCCATGCCAGGAGCGAGGCACGCAAAGGGCAGAGTATTTTAAGCAAGTTAAGCACCGCTTCTTTTCTGTACTTCAGCAAAGTAAAACAAGTAAAAATTTGATTAACGGTATAAACTGTAAACCATGTGATTTCAGCATAACCATGTGAAACGGTTATCTTTTATGATGTAACTCTTATCATTACTGATGATAACCTAGTTAGCAGACTTTACTTTTACAGCAGACACACACAGAAAGGCATAATTACAGTAGCTCTAAAGATACATCCACTGACACACTTGTTTTGTGCATTACTATACTTATTTATTTTTAATCAAATTTTATCTTCAACTAAACCAGTGTATTTCGTACACAAATGAGAGAATTTTAAACACACGAATGTATGAATTAAACAGTTGTAACTAACAATGAAAGCAAGGTGTAGCCAAGGAAAACATAGAATTTAACGCCTTCACAAATCCATAGTGAGTTTTCTAAGAAATGGACGATAATAGCTATAAGGGAATGTATAGGCCTATTAGTATGCTGTGTTACTTTATTATGAAAGCACTGATTTTCTTTAGCCAGTCCTAGCCCTAGTAATTTTGGGTCATGACAGTTTTTTTTAGCAAAGCTTTCCCTACCTGTCTTCATATTTCATTGAATGACTCAGAGGGCAATTATTTAAATCACTGTATTTAACCTGTGCTGTTACGGGTGTATTTAGACAACTTAATTATTCGAGTCATGTATCAGTAATGCACATCGCCAAATGTGTGGCAATGTTTTTTACTGTCTTCATTGTGTAATTATAGACCTTTTCAGTGAAATGATACCGTGATAATTAAACATTAGGCATTGCTGACACATTAGAGAATAAAAAAGAATAAAGACTAACATTGTGGTAGCCTTGTTATTTCACATGTGTACTGTTTATGGATAGCTTCCATCATGTGAATCAAAGAGAATTAATTTAGCATGACAGGAATGAATTCTGGAAATGCAGGATTTTCACAAACGGAAGTCACCACTTCACAATGATTCACAAACATGTTTATAAATAAAGAATAGTTTGTTCAAATAACTTTTGTTTTCACAAAACACTTTGATAAAATTACTGTTCTGTGAATGATTAGATGGTCTGTACACAAAATAATCAAAATAATTGGCTGATATCTACAGTATGTAAAATTGAGGATCAAAGGTAAACTAAAAAGGCCAAGCAATGAAAATAAAAAGCTGTGTAATTACAGGACAGCGCCTTGGAATTTACTCCTAACGCCAAAGTCCTCTACATAACTTATATTTTAAAATAGAATAAATACATTGTTCTATTGTTCACTCAGTGAACTGTACTTAGCTCCCTATTTTGGATTATTACCAGTTTATGGTAACTGAGATACCTTTAGCAGTCTGAAGGCTTTCGTTTAATGTAAAGACATTACACATTTATAAAACTACAGCTCATGTTCTAAGAGCTGAAATGAAAATATGAAATTTTGTCTATATTATTTCTTACTTATGGTGGCTAGGTGAGATTAACAGTTATGCCGGGCTAAACACTGTTCAGATAAACTGTACCATGAATATACAGTAGATATTCCTTTTAAAATCATAAACAGTTTAATATCCTTTGTGTGCCTATTTTTATACTATATGTTGTTTTTGCACAACTTGTCACAGCCTTTTATACAGTATCAAGGAATAAACAGTCTATGGCAGCTTTTTGATGGTACAGTATCTCTGTGAAGAAGATATACTCTTGGCACTGTGTTCAGTTAGAAGAGCTGTTTTTTTTTAGTCCATCTAAGCAAGAGCTGGATGCTCGACTAAGAACAGAGCAGCTTAGAAAAGTAAAACAGAATTCCACTGGCAAGTTTCCATTTTAGTCTCTATTTAGTGATGAAGTATTGTTAATCTTAAATCTTCTTTTACAGTCACACACCTAATTTATAAACATGATGTAGTTCTGGAGTTAATACAACAGTCAGGAACAGAAAAAAAACTAGAATCTGAAAATGAAATACAGTACATTTAAACTGTTACTGTACATACTGTGTCTCGTGCTAAAAGGTACTTTAGGCCATTGGTTTACATGAATGTCTTAATCTATTTTGCTGTTAGGTCTCTATTGCTCTGTTAACAGAGAGGTTCAAAACTATACATTTACAAATATCATTTAACAGAAAATGTGTACATGAGTAACGGCAGATCATTTGAAAGGAATCAGGAGAATTCTATAATTAGAAATTGATTACATAATTACATTCATGGTGGCAGCATGTGAGGCTATGAGGTTTGCAAATGCTGTATTTTTAAACTATTAATCAGTCTATTTTACTATGACATCTCTAAAGATAATATACGCAGCTCCACTTAAGCAATTAAGTTGTTTCAAAAATGCTAGCATTACATTTTTAAATAATAATTCATATTCACACTGTACAATGTAAAAGTACCTTCTAACCTTTGGTATTTCCTGTTGTGTGAATACTGCCCGCCTCTGTGCTTCTATTACATTAGAGCAGGAAGCAATTAAATCTAAAGATCAGACCTAACATAAAACACTTGATATCTGAATCAGCAACTACAGGTGGACTGCCAAAGGCATTTTTTCATAGTGTATTCTTTACTGTCTAAGAGATCTCATTTAAATTTTGATTTGTCAGAGACATGAAACAGTAACAGGGAAGATAAAAAACGCAATGACTTGCAGACATTTCATGACAAGAAGGAAGCTTCGGAGCAGACTTCACAGCCCTTTATCAACATTAAAAAAAAAGTTTTAATCTGATAAAGTAAGTTTTCTTTCCAGAACAGAATTTCTTGATAGCAGGAAAAGACCAATTATGAAAGATACCCTACTCCTGAGTAATGATTTCAAAGAGCAAAGAGTGTAAAGAGTTGATGGTGTTGTTTTATTTAGTTCTAAACTACAAATTACAAGATGTGAGGATGTAGCACTACTTGTTGGCACTTGACATAAACATCATAAACATCAACACAACACAAGAACAATACACAGAAGCTGCTGAAATGCTAGTGTAATAGTCTAAGTAAACACAGCTGGCTGTGGCAAGACGTTGCCACTCCAAAAGACAAAAATAGCAAAAATTACAACACGATGTGAACTATAAGGAGGTAGTTATATCTCAAGGGATGAGGTCCTATGATATTTTTCTTCTAATGATTATTCATGGATACAGAGCTCCAGTTCTTTTCCATTCTGGAAAAAAAAACATATTTCCACAACGCACTTACAGTAACTGAAACTAAATACAAAGTCCTGCAAAAAACCTCACATCCTTCTTATAATGTCCCTTTTGTGAAATTACAAAATGATGTATTCACATTTTTTAACTTCAAATTTTATTAAAAACTTGAATGCTCAAATTGGTGATGTCTAAGGGTAAAAACGGTGATTTTTTGCCTTTGCTAAAAGACTGCAGCAGACAGAAACAGCTTTTCCTGAACATTTTTTCCAGTCTTTACATTTTTTTGTCCGAACAAACTTTCCAGTCCTTAATAAGGAGAAGCATCTCCACAACATGGTGCTGCCACCATACTTGATGGTAGGAATGGTTTTGACTGGAAGATGTGCTATATTGAGTCTGCTTCAAATGACAGCAAGTTTTAAACTCCAAAAATGTGAAAACTGCAACGGTCTGAAATTTTTTGCAAAGCACTATATACATACCGTTTACAGTATACCGTCTTCACACCTGAAGAAGGCTCCACAGGCAAACAGTGTGTTTCCTTTATTTTCTTTTCAGCATGGAATAAAGCCGTTGCCTCTTACAGTATACAGTATCTTCTAGATACAGTATATATGAGGATACTGTCTATTTCTGAACTCAAATAAAATGCATAAAACATTTTCTTAGAGCCTTTTAATTTAAAAGCTAAATATAACATCTGTGCAAAATCTGTAACAAAAAAAACGTCTTGTTGTCTGAGCCTGGCCATCATACAGTATAAGGATTATTCCACTTGAGCTTTAATAACTCTCACACTGGTCCTGAGGATGAGCCCTTGATCATTCTAATTTCATTCTGTGCTCGAAGTAACTAAGTATGTGAAAAACGGGACGTGTTTTATGGTCTTGAAAGCTCATATTCCCAATTGGACACAACATTCTTAAGATTAAATCTGATGAGATGCAAGAGTCAGCTCCCATCTGTTGCTCTAAATAAAAGGAGCATAAATATTGACCGGGTTACTCTCTTCGAAGAAACTCCATATCTGCTGTAGAAGAGATTAAAAGAGACCACCAGTGGCTACCCTGCTCAGCAGCTCAGCATGTTAAAGGTTTTTTAGGTTGTGCTTGTTTCCAGTTTTGCTTTTCATATGCGTACAGTTGGTTTTGTTTCATTAGCTGAGCAATTAGCCATCGAGTCACACTCAGCCAGCACGTTTGTGTTCTGTACTGTACATATACAAGGGATACATTCTTTCTCGCTGCTTCTGAGAAAATGCAAAGGAAAGAATACTAGAAAATTACATTTTTAATGATTTGGGCACACTAACCATCACAGAAAAAACAAAGAAAGATAGGGATACAACAGATTTCAGCACTTTGTGTTTTTTTAATTGAAAAGTTCATTTAACGGAGTTATAACATGTGCAATCATTTCAGAAGCCTACTGATCCATTAAATGTTGCAAACCACATTGT